AAGAAGAGAGAGAGAAAGAGAGAAAGGGTGTGTATGTGTGTGTGTGTGCTTCCTACGTGCAGAATATCGTGCAGGCTTCATATCATGGCGTTTTAATGACCGTGACCTAAAGAAAGTGCCACTATCACTATAGTAGCCTGAAAATTGACCTCAATCCACGATGTGTACACTACATACCATTCAGTGCACATAGTTGCATAGCGACGTTGATATTGTAGGATTTTGCCAGACGTTCTGAGCAAATACCAACCAGTATAACCCTAAAACGTTAAAAACCTCTGAGGATCTTATGCGTTATGAGTGATGCAGAAGTTTCTCGAAATGGGCTGGGATGGTCATGTTTCCAGTTGACCAATCTTAAGCAGAGCGGAGCAAATCCTGAAGCTGTTTTCTCTTCCATTTGCACCGCTTGATCATGCCATTTGCAACCAGTTGAGCGTTTTTGTTACGATTTGCCTGTTTTCGCGTCTATTATTGGCAGTTTTGATGAGCTAGTGTCTGGTGTCTGAGCTGGCTAGGGGGGCTATCCGTCCAACAACAAAGTCAGGCTGCAAGTTGGAGGGGGGGGGGGGGGCGGGGCCGAGTCTCTCGACGAAACATCATTGCACAAACATAGCAATTTGATGATGTCATACGAAATGACAAATATTCTGAGACAATTAAGGTGCTTAATAAATGCACGACATGCGTGGATAAATAATGATAACTCTCCACACCTGCCATCGCTTAGGTAAGAGCACTCACCGGGACCTTGTCCCATTCTCCGGTTTTAACACGCACCCGGGCGACTGATTGAATATCTTCGGCTCTGGTGGGTGTCAATTTGACCCCCCTAAGATAAAAAACTAAGAATGATAGACACACGAAATTAACAGGGTTGTTTGGCCTCTATGTAAACTCACTTGTGTTAATATTTGATGTTCCCACGCCATGCATGCTCTTGAGCCCAAATAAGATCAAACAAGGTTAAATCCCGGATTGGTACCTCAAATGCTCCCAGACCTCTCACGCAACCACTGTGAAGTTAGATATATGTTCTAAGCAAAAGGTCATTGCTGTTCAATTAAGGTCAGTGAACTTGTTTGACCTTTAAAAGATCACGGTGAATAATGTCTACCAGATCACTTCCACTTCTCCATTCAGTTAGGCGTCAGGACTGCGCTAGGCAGCAGGTTCCTGAACACAAATGTTGACCTGGATCATTTTGGGCTGGTGACCCGACCCACCATAGGTCAGCGACCTTACAACATGGTCTAAAGTTTTACGTCAGAAGATCTGCCATTTAATTATCTCCAATGCAAAGTTTGGCAAAGTTTGGCGCGGCTACGCCGCACCGTTGGGAAATCATTTGGAGAAATCTTTCGGGAGGGGGGAGTCAAATTTACCCCCATCCGAACGCTTGTTAATAGACATTTTATGCTACGACCCGCGTCCACGCTCCATTATCTAACACGGCAAAATCCCGGCTTCCGTGTTCCTTGACATAGCCCCTGACGTCAAGCTTACGATGCCCTGTGCTGTTCCAGGTGACAATGGTGCTGCTGAAACCAGCACTGTGCGTGCTGCTGGTCGTGCTGTGTTCAGCAGACGCCATTAATGTGCTGATCCTGCACCCGGTGTACGCCGGCAGTCACGAGCTGACGCTGCGCGTGCTCGGCGAGCAGATGGTGGAGCGTGGCCACAACGTCACACAGATCAGGTGGGCGCTCATAACGGGCACGACGGTCAGCCGTGCGTCCAGAGGCTGCCGGCGCCCGCGGCACCGCTCAAACCGCATGGGCACGTGGATGCGGGAGAGCACCACACCGACAGAAACAGCCAAACGTAGAAATGAACCGCACGAATCCAGTCATAATTAAATCGCGTGCTACAGTTGGTTTTGTGTTGCCTAGTAGACAACTAGTTATATCATTCCTTCCACAGTTAGAACGTCACTGCATATTACATTGGACAAATGATTCGAATGTTGATATTGAAGATACTTAACAGGTGCACTTAATATAAAAAACACTATGCCCCGAATGCTGCTATGATCTCATGATCTGTGACCATAAGGAAAACGCATGCTTTAACAGCGCGGACTCAGGACCTGCTGAATTCCTAGTAGGGGTTTCTAAGGAGGCCTCAGGCACGAAGAAAAAGCTGCCACAAGGGCAGCAGCGTCATGTTCCGCAAAGTTGCATTGTCATTGAACTGAAGATACGTACTTCCAAAGGAGAACGCCGTCAGAAGGGACCGCCTGCTCCACACTGATGCACCAAACGCTTTGACGGCGCTGACTGACGATCGAATGGGGACTGCTGAGAAGGCAAGAGGGGCGACTGGATGTGTCAACTGGCCAAGATCAGCAGGCACGTCACACCTGATCTTGCTGTTATGAAATCAGAATTGGGTGTATTCAGAAATGCAGCCTCCTATCCAGTTTGGGGAGGTGGTGGAGAGGAGAGCTTCAAATCCTCAACTTGGGCTCCAGCTCCCACAGCTTTGGGAAGAAAGTGGGCCAAATCTGGGGAGACACCCGCTTTTTCTCGCCTTTTCGAGTAAGGTTATGCCATTTTTCACTGTTTAGCCCCAAACCAAGTTGCGAAAGTATGCCTCTGGGCATGTCAATGCTTGTTAGTAAGCAACACGTGTAAGTCATTACATTACTACCTGGCCCTCTCAAGCGGCATTGACTTACGTTGAGTTGACGTAAAGACAAACCTTTAGGAGGCATTCGTGCAACGGCTCTTACAGATTATGTACACCTCCGTCGCTTATGCTTGCGCACGAGAAGAAAACCTGGAGGACCAAGTCCCGTTACGTCCTCACAGAAGTTCCTTTGTATTCCGGCATCGCTTTCAATTTGCACACTTCAGCTTTCCAAACAGCCTGACAAATTTGCAGCTGCATGCTGGCACCAGGCTCATGGTGAAATGTCCCATTGTTGACACCAGGTCAAACTCACAGGGGCTGTGTCCGATTTGCCGCAGGCTCGACCAATCACGTGCAGCTCACAGTCGCTTTCAC